TACACAGTGTAATATTCAAGTTAACATACCAGCAGGATACATTCATCTCTGTGGGATTCTCGCTAAATTCCAGTCAATGTAATCAGTTAAATAGTATTACACGCCACCTCGAGAAGTTAATAAGAAAAGAAAAGTGATCACGCCAGCATGACGTATTGTGTATTTGTCTTTAACGTGTGAATGCAGGCGAACAATGTGAATGCAGCCGAATAAAACCTACAGTTTATCACCTATCTCATATGTGTGTAAATAAATGCCGAGTGCCAGGTTGACACTTGAAGTTTGGGATTTGAACACAGCAGTCGTGTTTGTGTCTATACGTCATGGCGGAGGGTTACCTTTGTGGATGTGATTTTCTACAAGTAGGAAGGTACAGTTTTATAGTAGAGCAATTATTTTTGGTCTTCATTTCGTTAATTAAATTGATCTCATGGTCGAATCAGTGTTAATTATTGCACTTTGTCGCGGTGAATCGCTTACGTTTTTCATTGGAGTTAGTGACAATTGTAGACTGCTAGCGTGCCTTTTTGTGTTTAAGTGACAGTCTTTAATGAAATAGGAAAGACCTAGCAGGAAAAAAAAACAATGAAAGTAAAGCTTTGCATTCTGCATGATGTAATCTGTTTGCAAGATATCCTCTTTCGGTTCAGTAGCTTTAGTCCTTCTTGTGTTCGTCTGAAGAAGCGTGGACCGGTGTTGTAACAAATGGACAATGCTAATTTTATTTAAAGTTACAAGAAAACAATATGTGAACATTACAGGCTCAAACATAAAGAACGTACAGTAGGTTTTGTATGTTTTGGCGGTCACCACATAGAATGGGTTGATAAGTATAAATAGCTGGGAGTTTATGTAGATTGATTTTTAGATTTTCAATATACTGCAAAATTTCTATCTGAATCTGCTACTATAACACTGGGTTTAATTATGGGAAAATGAAAAAAAAGTGTCAGATAGGATTCTACACATGCCACAAATTGTTTAACAGCCGTGTGACTCCAATTTATTTTAGAGCATGGGTCGAGATGTTTGGGGATTTTTGGAAAATGAAAACTGTGGAAATGAACTATATGACGACTCAGGTCAGATACCACTGAAAGTTGGCATATGGGTGAACATATTTAGATATGGAACGGTTTGGTACTCACTCAAAATGAATTAAATACTTGTCAAAAAATCTTAAAGATTATAAATTGGGGAAAATGGTGCTCCGAAGTTAGATTCTCAGATTGTGTGATATTGAAATTCTTTTTTTTTTTAACAAATCAGTTGTTGATATAGAAAAATATTTAACAATTTTCTCTGAAAAAATCTCAATTAAATGAAAAAAATAGCACTTTGAAATTTACTAAAACTCCGAACATATTTGACATTTAGAAAAAGAATTAAAACGAAAAAAAAATGTATACATAGTTTTAAACAGGAAAGAAAAAATATATACAGACACTATAATTGTCTGTATATATTCTGATCGGTATGTTTGCCCGAGTTGTCGCTGTTGCTGTCCAAAACGTGACGCTCGCCCATAACTGCCAAACAGTATTTTTGTTTTACTTTAAATTTACTGATTGTCTTTGTTTGATAAAGCAGCAGATTGCTTCTGAAAATCAGCAACATCGGTTATGTTTACGGTAATTATTTTTTGCACCATTTAGGTCACATTTGCCTCATATTTAAGTAATTTTGTTGATGTGTATTTTGTTGATGTTTCTTCTTTTTGCTGTCTGTATATTTACCAGCTTTAATGGTCTAGTTTATAACTTTTTGGATGAGCTCTTTACCTTTACCTAGAAACTGGTCGTTACACAAACATGACCATTAATGAAATAATATGGCAACTTTCCAAAAAGGAGTTACAAGATGAGAATCCTCTCTTACTTCGGTGCTCTGCTTATATTGAGGGAAGATATAAATTTCATGAAAAATGGGCATCTAAGCAAATGGTATGAATGAAATATTTAAGAAGGTTTAATTGGAGGGGGGGGGGGGGAAATGTATACAACAGGTGTCTTTTAAGCCCGAAGGGCTGGGTGTATATTTGCACATTAGGCCTACAAGTAAATAAATGATTATGTTGATATGAATTATAAAAACGCTAGGATTCAGTCATAGCTATAATAATAACAACACGATATCCGATAACAGCACTGCTGCATTACTTATTAACTCGCGTCTTCTTCCAGTGATGTTGTACTTTGGATTTATCGCCTGCTAAACACGTGATAGGGCTAGAAACAGTGACAAGTAGATTTAGTACAATAATTATTCTTCACTTTGATATTGTTATTGTACCTTGCATTACTTTATTCTCTTCAGCGTGACTCCCGATTCAGCCACACAGAATTATCGTAATGAAAATGATTAAAAGTACAGATACAAAGTTGTGATCGTAATGAATACATTGTACCTTTCATAATTGATACAATATACATTTGTTAAGAGGTTAAACAGTGTAAGTAAGAGAGTTAAAGAGTGCATGTGTTGTTCAATAATAAAAAAAGAATAATATAGTTATCATTCCTTCAGGATGATACAATGAAAAATCTGTATTAATAGAAATGGCGACCTAAGGTCAAGTAACATTCCATTGCCTAATAAGAGAATGATTATATTTTGGTAATGACGTAATGATGGAAAGTTATGGAAAAAGGGATAATCATAGACATTGTGTAAGAGCTGAGGAATTATTACATTACCAAATAAGGTAATGTAGGAGAAAGACTTTGTGATACATCATGACATTGGAATGATGATCTGTAGGATAAAAGAGAATGCATTGTAACTGGAAAATAAGAATATACGAATAAATCTTTTAGGCTCCCAAAAGATGTATGTTCTTCATTTATAGTACTGGCGAAATAAAAAGGTACTATAGAATTATTATTGAATAAAGCAAATAAATTTCTTTCTCCTCATTTTCACAATGTGTGCAATTTATAAAAAAAATGGTTGTGTGAATTACAGCAGGTAACTTATTAACACGAGAAAGAGCGAGCGAGCGAGCGCACGCGCGCGCGCGAGAGAGAGAGAGATGAGACGCGGGGGTGGGGGTTGCAAGAAATACCTTACTGGGTAGACCTACATGTATATCTTCTGACAATGCTGACTTTCTGTAATGACCTCTCTATACAGTAACAATTACCCTGGGAGAAAGCAACACAATATTTTAATGGTCCAGGAAACTGACCACCTTTATAGATTCCTTTACTTTTACAAACCTTATATGTTGCCAGGCGCACGCCTTGTCACTCTCCAGATCTTGTTTCTATCACGTTTACTCAGAGTTTTCAAGCAAAACGACAAAATGTCCAAAAATCGGTTACTCTATTTTTGTAGTCCCTATCCCTTTTCTACCTTTTACAAAACATTAAAAAACGGAACTTGTTCATAATGATCTGATCATGCAGATAAATCGGGAAATATGCTTATTATAAATTATGGTGTGGTCTTAGATGTCATCACTTTTATCATCATTTTACAAGTCTAAAAGAGAAGAGTCTTTCCAGCCCCCCCCCTCCCACCCCCAATCTGATCCTGAAAAGCTAAACATGGTCACCTTCGCCTTCCTGGGAGAGGGAGGATCATGATTTCTTAATTTTTATTTTTCCAAAAGCGTACAGAGGACACCCCCCTCCCCAATATACTGTTGTACATGTACTGGTAGATTAGCGAAAATGACCCCTTAAAGACAGGCATGAATAGGCTAACCCTACAATTAAGTTCATGCCCCTTAGCCGGTTAGTCTGCAATCTCAAGATTATTATTATTATTATTATTATTATCATTATTATTATTATTATTATTTTATTTTATTTTTTATGTGATGATTCTTGTGACCTTTGGTAATTACTAAGATGCCGTAGTCATACCATGACTTATTATTATTATTATTATTATTATTATTATTATTATTATTATTATTTTATTTTATTATTATTTTATTTTATTTTTTATGTGATGATTCTTGTGACCTTTGGTAATTACTAAGATGCCGTAGTCATACCATGACTTATTATTATTATTATTATTATTATTATTATTATTATTGTTGTTGTTGTTGTTAATTTGTTGTTGTCGTTATAACACAATCCTTACTCCTTCCAGATACCTGTTTTAAAATTGACATTCTACTGGCACCTGAACTCGCTGTGTCATCTATTATCCACTGCTCTGTGATGCCGTTTTGTTTCTCGTGGCCTGTGATGCCGTTGCCGCCATTCTGTGTCCTGTCCTGGCCTTTCTCCTAAGCGAGTCAGTGCTGTACGTGATAAACAGGCGCCATTTTCTTCAACAGCCAGGAAGTAACAGGACGAAGATTGTGGGATAATGTTGAACATATTTGACAAAGAAAGAGATATAATCTGACCGACTTGTAGGTATATGGAGCAAGTGTTTATGTTACTGTGATCTCCAAGCTGCAGCACCAGAAGTAAACATAAAGTTTAGCAATCGCTGACAGAAATATTACAGGATCTACTGTCGGAATGGAAGCCATGTTAGGGCAGTCTAGACGAGGTGTAAATCCAAGATCAGGACAGGTGACAGTACAGACACAACCTCCATTAGCTGAACAGGAAACAAATACAACATCAGCTCCACATCCTCATGTTTTCTTAGACAAGGCAGAATGTGTGCGTTCCTTCAGTGCTGAACTGGAAGATGATAGAGACATATACATAACTGGGTTAGCCATAGATAAGGAACACATGTTTGTTGTGGATAAAAGAAAAAACAGAACAAAAGTATTCACACATGAAGGACAATTTAAGTTTGACATTAAAGTAAACAAACCATGTGATGTGGCTGTGTCACAGACTGGTCACCTGTATATAACATCACAGGGTGACAGTTGTGTCCAAGTGTACTCCACCAGAGGTCAGCAGGTGACAACCATGGGTCAGGGTCTACTGGGTATTACACTGAACAGACAAGGTCATGTGATGGTTTGTGATGGAAGAAAGAAGTCCATCTTCACATTCCATGCAGACAGTGGACAGCTCCTGAACACTATTCCACTCAGTATGTGTAGATACCCAGAGTACATCACAGTGAACAGTGTGAATGATAACATTGTCATATCAGACATGTTGAGATACTGTGTACATGTGCTGTCACCTACTGGTGATCATCTGTACCAGTATGACGGCAGCAGAGAAGGCAGTAAACTGAGTTATCCATGTGGAGTGTGCACAGACAGCTATGGTCACATCTTCATTGCTGACAATGGTAACCACAGGATAGTGGCACTGAGTCCACAGGGACAGTTTATCAGATACATTGTCACTGAGGATGATGGGTTGGAGTTTCCCCAGGCAGTAGTCATCAACCCTGCTACTGGTCAACTGGTGGTGGGAGAGTATGGCGGCAATGTTAACACATTCCAGTACATTGACCTGAAACAAGGTGAGTAACATGTATTAACTGTGGATAGATATGTTTATTATGTAAAATATTTGAAAGTTAATTAGTCTTACAATGTTTTTATCCATAAATATGTTTGCCTTTATTTCAATAAAAAACTTTTTAAGCATATTTAAATTCAGTAAGCACACAGCTGTGCTTCAGTAAAAATGTATGTAGAGTGGAGACATTTTCTATAGTTAATACTTTACTGTTACTGACCAATTTCTATGAACCCATTATAGTGATTAGGATTTTGAATAATGATGAAGAACTCTTTTTAATGGAATTTATAGTATGCTTTATTTGTATTTTTATTAAGTCACAAGAAAAACATCTTACATTGTTTAATCCCTGAACTTCTTGTCCATTTGTCAGTAAAGAACAAATCAAGTCTCACAACAGAACAGTCCAATTCTTCATATTCTTCATCTTGTAGCTGTTCATGAAAGCTTAGATATACCTAAATTCTCAAATGTATTTTGTCAAGTTTCTTGATGTCTTACCACTTCTAGATTCAAAGACATTTCATCACCAGTTTGTTGTTAACACACACAAATAAATTAAATGTTGAAGTACTTTGGATGATACCTTATTTTCCTGACTTTGTGGATTGTTCTTTGCAAATAAAACTAGCAGACGACCATTTTTCATGAAATGGAACTACTTTTCACAGGAAGTAGTGTATTCATACACAACAGTGACCTTGAGTTTGGAATACAAAAAAATAGTACATGCATTCATACTGTCACAGCATGCAAATTATAATGAAATATACAAAACTAAACACATTTTTATGTAACACAAGTTAAATGCATTTTTATTTATTTATATTATTATTATTATTATTATTATTATTATTATTATTATTATTATA